TGATGTGCTGGGCCATCCTCCTCTGGGGAATGGAATGCTCCCCAAAGATTGTTCAAGACAGCACTGATGGAGGGAACTTGTAATAAACCTGATGTTCTGTGTCCACACTGTTCACTAGAGCCAGTAGTCACTGACCATATGAGACATTGAGCAGCTTGTGTGACTGAGGAGCAGTTCGTGTAACTCAGGGAAGACTTCCTAGGAGAAAGTCTTTCCAAGGTAAGGCATCAGGAGTAAACCCTTCCAAGACGCAATGAGCACATGCAAAGGCCCTGAGGCAACAGAAAGCCCAGTGAGGACTGAGGCGGGTAGGAAAGCCCAGCCCTACACACAGGCAGCAGCTAGAACAGCCCCATCCACTCCCAGCTAGTGGCTTCTAAGCCCTCCCTAAGGGGAGGCAGAACAGGCAGCTCAGGGTCCACTGTCAGCACTGGCCAGTGGCCTGAGCCAGCTTGCTCATTCTTCTCCCCTGACACCCACTGGAATGCTCTGCCAATCCCATAAACATAATTTGGAAAATCTTGTCTCAGTCCCCAGCTCGGCGGGCTCCTCTGCCCTTGTGCACCCTCCCTAAGGTCACTGCTGGGTGGAAACTGGCCCTTATCCCCCGGGAGCTCCTGACTCATTCTGGAACAAGCAGCAAAGCCCAGTCTTTCTCAAGAACCAGCTCCAACAACAGGAGGGCAAATGTGACCCAGGGACACAGGGATGCGGAGGGGGGCAGGGAGCAAATCAGAGACAAAGAGAAAACAGAGAACCCGGCGGGGTGAGACAGAGACTGATGAGGATCACAGGAGACAGCCCAAGCCAGCAGGACAGATGGACAGATACACCAGGGAGAGCAGCCAATACAAGACAGAAACAAAGGCACATGCCACACAACAGTAGCAGACTAACAGGTGACAAAGACAGTTCTGGACACACAGGGCCTGGAAAACAGAGGGAAAAGCAACCTGTGATACTTCCCCACCCCGAGCTGGGGTGGGGTCTCCCAGGGCAGGTCTCCACTCTTGGGCACATCCACTGTCTGCACTTGCAGAAAAGAACACAAGGGGGCGGCATTGCTCCAACCAACGCCCACGAGCCAGGCGTCCAGCTTCCAGAAGATGATGGAGCCGGACTCTCCGTGGCTGGCAGCAGACACGGCCTCACTGAAAGGTGTGAGAGCCTGGATAGGGGGACTCCAAGCATCCACAGTCCCTCTCTCCTGATTCCATGATCTCAAGTCTGTCCCTTTCCTCCCCATTCCAAGTCTTGTTCTCTTTTCTGATGCCCACCTGGCATCCCGGGACCCTGCCCAAATGAAGTCAGATCTGTCTCCTGGAGTCCAGACCATTCACCCACCTGCTCTCTCCTGGTTTCCTTCTCCATGCTGATTCACGATCTTGCCACCAAGGTGAGTGCAGTGAGTGGCCCCAGCAGGCCCAGAGTACCTCCGCACTCCTAGCTCGATCACCCCCTCTTCCTGTCCGCCTGTCCCCACCAGGACTTCACCTCCCAGCCCTGGTCTTCAGCCCACCCCCTCTCCCCAGGCCATGCCACCGCCGTCCTTGACCTGCACCAGTGATAAGCTGCTCCCTCCCGCTACTGGTGTCCCGGACCCCACAGCCAGAGCTGTCTTCCAAAACATAAATATAATTGTGTGTCATCCCCTGCCTAGACCTTCCGGTAGCTTTGTATTGCTCCTGGGACAAAATCTAAGGTCTTCTGTGTGGGCTCTGCACCCCTGGTAAGCAGCTTCCTCTCCACTTCGATTCCTGCCCACAGCCACCTGCTCAGAAGCCTCTAAGAATTCGTCAGTGGGCTGGGGACGCAGCTCAGCAGCAGAGGGTCTGCCTGGCGTGTGTGGGGCCCTGTTCCATCCCCATCAAAAAATATATATATATATTCCTGTGGGGGCGGGCGTCATTGGAAAGGATAACAATGAACAAAGTTTCATTTGCATGGCTTCGGGTTTTTCCCTTTCACACTGGATCTTGATTTCAGTGGGGTGTCTCTGGTGGGGCCCCTAGTAAACAACACCTTATCTGGCTTATGAAACAACCTGAGAAATAAAATAAGAAAAAAGAAAGAAAGAAAGAAACCACAAACCTATAACAACAGGGACGTGGTCCCCACAGGAGGGGGCCTGGAGAAGCTGTGCTGCTACTGCAGTCAGGGGGGAGGGGACACCCCAAGTCCGGGGAAACCGCCTCACACAGGAGGGTGAGGCTTCGGGCTTGGGCCTCCTGTGACCTCCTACGTGGGCCCATTTGATGTCTGAGGAACTTGTCCTTTGGGGGTCCAAAGCAACGCTCCAGCCCAGAGACAGGAGAGTTGGAGGAAGGTGACTCAGCCTCGAGCTGGAAAGGAAGCCGACCTTGAACCCAGTACCCAGGCTGGTCTCAGGCCACTGTCTGTGCTAATTCCCTTTGTCATCCTGAACCTATTCTGTTAAAGACTTCATTCTTGACTCAGCTGTGTTGAGGGAAACCAAGGCCACCATCCCAGACCAGCCACTCAAGGCCAGTGGGGAGAGGCCCAGGGCTCTTTGGTGAGGGGCCCAGGGGAGCCATGTCCAAGCTGCAGTGGACAGTCCAGCCCTGGGAAGCCAGGCTCCGGCTGGACTCTGAGTCAGCAGCTCCTGTGCAGGGAGCCTCCCACCCAGCTGCTCCCTGGCTTCCGCCCAGGGGGGCTCCCAAAGACCATGTCCACAGCCTCCTTTCCTCCATACTCCCAGGGGAGGCAAGCACTCCGCCGGCCCCCCATTCCATTGTCAGGAAAACCCTCCCTTCCGCCCTCCAGCTCCTCCCCACTGTGCCCGAGAGCAAGCCTGCGGTCGTCCATCCACACGTGATCATAAGCCAACGCATTCCTCTCCCAAAGCTTTCCCACCATGGAATGGGTTTGTGCCAAAAAGGTTATATGGGGAGTGTGAACTGGATTTTCCGGCCGACTTCCATTAGGCAGGCAGAGATGTGCTTCTCTCCAAGAGAGGAGGGCAGAGGAGCAAGGATCTGGCAGTGGGAAAAGGAGCAGGACTCCATGGAGATCTCATTCCCCCCAGGATGTGGTTTTAAGTTCATATGCACAACCTCTACCCTACCCTGTTTGTTAGAGGCACCAAATTAAAAACACAAGATGCGAGCCAGGCACAGTGGTGCACACATGTAATCCCAGCAGCTCGGGAGGCTGAGGCAGGAGGATCGCGAGTTCAAAGCCAGCCTCAACAACCGCAAGGTGCTAGGCAACTTAGGGAGACCCTGTCTCTGAATAAAATACAAAATAGGGCTGGGGATGCGGCTCAGTGGTCGAGTGCCCTGATCAATCCCCGGCACCCAAAAAACAGAACAAACAAACAAAACAATCAAGATGCAATAGCAACACAGAGAGACTCAGGCTCAGTATCCAGAGACTGTTGAGGATAAAAAAAAAAAAAAATAGATAGCCAGACACGTTGGCACACGCCTGTAATTCCAGCGGTTCAAGAGCCTGAGGCAGGAGGAAGGGGCTGAGTTGTTCCAAGCGGCACTGAGGGGCCTGAGTTCAAAGCCAGCCTCAGCAAAGTAGCAAGGCCCTAAGCAACTTGGGGAGAACTTGTCTCTAAGTTAAGCGCCCCTGGGTTCAAGCCCCAGTACCAAAAGAATAAAAGGAAAAACACCCAGACCACAAATCCAGGAGGAAAGAAGCAGAGTCAGCACCCTTCAGTGCCCCTCGGAACAACTCAGACCCCGCCTCCGGCAGCTGCCCTACCTCCGAGCTCAGGGAGGGCTGACCAGCCACAGAGCCACCTTCAGCCCTAGGTGCAGGGCTGTCCACTGCCGTCTCCTTCACTGCACGCATGCCCTGCACCGTTGGGTGGTCTCTCTGCAGCTCACTCTCTCTCCTTCCAGCCAGAACATTCCCTCCTCCCGATGGGCCACCAGGCTCGTGCCTACCTAGAAACCTTTGTTCCAAATTCCCCCTCCTCATCCTAACCCAGAATGCCCTCGAGCCCATTTGTTCCTTGTTTCGCTCCCCTTCAGAGAATGTCAGGACCCTCGGTGGCCCTCCTGAGCCCCTCGTCTGATCCTTGTCACGCAGTCTTCTGCTCCTGGCTCCTCCTCCTCCCTTCCCCACACCCATGGATGCCACTCTCAGGCCAAAGGCTCTTCCCCCACATACACATGGAACCGGCATGTGCCACCATGCCTGGCTATACCCATTTTATTTATGGGCCTCAAGTGAGGCTCGGAGAGCACAAGCAAATTACTCCAGCCTTCAAGTCACTGGGGCAAAGCCTAGTGCATTTGGAGCCTACGTCAGCCTGATTTCCAAGCATCAGCCTCATCCATTTCCTACTTACTCCCCACAAATGCAGACCTGATCACACCAGCCCATCACTTCCTCGTTGCTCTCCGGGCAAATGGGCCCAGCACTCAAGGTTCCCTGAACACTGTCCCACCCACTTCCTCCCCCAGCCAGATGGGACGACCACACCTGACAGGCCACCTCTTCCTGCCCTGCAGTTTACACAGCAGCCTCCTCTGCCTAGATGGCTTTGTCCCTCTCTTTCTCTTTCTTGTTCCTTAAGGCCAGCCAAGAGTGGCCTTCCTGGGGAGAACTCCAGTCTCTGGAGCTCACAGGACATTCCGTGCCTGCAGGGGCTGGCACCCACCACCCCGCCTTGCAATCACTTGTTCGATCTTTCAAGTGTCACTTTTAGTTTTGTAGCCTCAAGGGCCAACACGGGTCCTGTGTGTATCAGGAAAGTCCTCAGGAAAGGCCAAACTACGGAACAAGAGCTTCGGCCAGTAGGTCCCCAGGCCAGCAGAGGCGGAAGACAGCTCAGCCCTGTGTTGCAATCAGACTTTCTGGGGGCAGGCTGGGGTTCTGCACTTGAAATAAGATAAGAGATCATCTTACCCAAGAAAACTGGCGGGACTGCTCTAGACCTTTACAAGGACAGCCTCGTGGGATGAGACACTTAGCTGCTGTCTGAGTATAGATCCCCAGGACAGTATTCCTCAGAATTATTTTATTTTATTTTTTGGTATCAGGACATGCATAGACCACACTTCAGGTCATCGTGGAGTAAACAGACAAAGGCTGGAGGTAAAAGGTCTCGAAGCTCACACAGCTCCGGCTCCACCAAGGTGGGTGACCAATACCTAGGTGTGCCAGGAGCCCTTTCCTGTCACCCTACTTGGGAAGCTCTGATTACTAAGAGCTACCAGCCAGACATGGCTGCATGGCACTCACACGGGTGCTGTGGATAGGGAGCTCTGATGAAGCCAGGCCTGGAGCCACGCCCGCTGCAGGAGCCTGGCTTTGGGTCTCCCAGACCTGAGAACACACATGGAAGAGAGATAATGCAGCAGCTGTGAGGGTGCCCTGCTGGGCTGGAACCCTGGGCCCATCCTGCAGACCTCCCCTCCCCGGAGGTGGCCCAAGAAGCCAGCAGCATCTGTGAGCAGAATGCTGAGCCTTCCCTGCCAGAGGAAAGCTGCCACCGCAGTGGAATGAAGTTCTTCCAACCTTTTCATTCAGTTAATTGCTTAATGGAATGAATGGAGGGAAGGGCTGGCAGCAGCACCCCAGCACTTGCAGCTGCTATGAACGCTGGAATCTTCTCCAAAACGCAGCTATTGGCCAGATAGAGGACATTCTCTGTGGCCCACAATGTCCCCTGAACTTTCCGGAGAGCCTGCAAATGTGGAAAGGTTGTCTTTATAAAACATTGAGGAGAAATTGTAAGCTGGAGGGTCCTCACCTCATGGCTACTTTAGCTAAGAAGCTGATGCTGCAGAGAAGGCTCTGCTCTTGATGACAGAGATGCATTTTGGCTATTAACAAAAGAGCTATGGGGGTGTGCCAGGTGACAAAAATTCCTCCTCCCAGGAGTTAACCAGTTACAGGAGAATTTGTATTCTGTGGACAGCTGGGAGTGCTGAACAAAGAGACCATTGCTGGTAGGGCCCCTGATACCTAGCAGTATAAAACATGACATTCAACTCTTTATAAACCAGTCATTGAATGGGTACATGGACAGATAGATGCATGCATACATGGACAAGTGAATGGATGGACAAATGAATGGATGGATGGATGGAAATGTAGGGGAATTTTATGATTTCCATAAATGTACCATGTGTGCTTAGAAAAAAGTATATTAGATACCAAATTTTATATAGGTCCATTAGAACAAACTTGCTAGATGTGCTTTTCAATTGATTATATCATGACTTATATTTTTGTTTGCTTGACTATAATCAAAATCAAGAGAGGTATCTTAAAATTTTCCACTATAATGAAAGATTTGTTAATTTCTATTTATTGTATTATTAACAATACTCTCCTTATTAAAGGAAATATTAAAGTTGCATTTTATTATGAAAATCTCCTTATTAAATTCCCTCACTCTTTTCTTCTGGACTTTAGACATATAAGTTAGTCTGTTTTTTGTTGCTATAACAAAATACCTGAGAATAAGTACTTTATAAGGAAAGAAGTTTATAGTTTATTTTGGACTACAGTTCTGGAGCCCAGGGAAGTTCAAGAGCACAGTTTGTGAAAAGGCCTTGCACTGCTCTAATTTATGGCATAAAGTAGAAGAGCAAGCAGGTGACTATGGAAGGGAAACACAAGGGCAGCCTCACTTTTTAACAACCCACTCTCATAACAGCTAATCCAGTCCCACAAGAGCAAGAACTCATTTCCTCAAGCAAAGCATTAATCCTTCTTAATGACTTAATCATTTCTTAAGAGTTCCCACTCTTTCAACATCAATTTTGGAAATCAAATTTCAACATGAATTTTGGTGGAGACAAATAAAACCCAAACCATAGCAATATCTATTAGACCATATCTTTTTATGTTCTTTTAACCTCTCATATTTCCCATCTCCTTTTTTTCTCAAGCATAAATTCTTCATACCTATCTTTCCATTTACTGATTCTCTCTTTAACTGTGTCTAAACATTTTCAACATATCCATTGACATTTAATTTGAACGATTATATTTTTCATTTATTGGAGTTGTATTTTTAAAAATATGGGTGACATTTACATAATGTGGATTTAACCGATTCAAAATGAACAATTTTAGTGGTAATAAGTGCATTTGTCTTTGTCTTTTCTTTTTTCTTTTTTAAAGGTCTCTTTATAGAACCTTATGACTGTAGCCCAATGTTAGTCATATTTAGTTTTTCCTGATATTACAAATCTTTAATATCTTATTGACCATATAAAATACATTAAGTATGTAAAGGTGAAATTTAACAATTTACCTAATGCTATGTACATTTAGGTTTTCATAAGTTATGTCTTAAATACTTGTTGGTGGATTTTACTTATTGCTTGATCTAGAAATAATTTATGCTAAACACTGTGCTAAGTGCTGCATGTACAATGACAGATAAGTAATAATGATTGATTCCAAGGTGTTTACTGTCTTCTTTGTCACATAGAATTTTCCATATCCAGGATGATTACTTTGGATGGACTTCTAAATGTGAAAAAATAAATATAAGAATATAGTGAAAAAATTAAAAATAAAAAAAAATAAAGGTCTCTTTATTCCCAATAATTTCCAGTTTTATATTTCTTTTTGTAATAATATTTCTTTAAGCATTGAACTTTTATACATTTAGCTTTTTTAATTTTCTGTGTAACCATTCTATATTTAATATGTGACTGTCCATAATTTGCAGTTCTTAGAATCTGATGTTAATTGTCCATTGATTCTGATGATGACTTTCTGGCACAGTGGTAGTACTTCTCGTGAGTCTCATCATTTTTATTGTGAGTTAATTATCTGAACCCTCATAATCTGTGAGGGTTCTTTGATTTGAGAAAACTCTTGCAGAGAATGTTTGATAAAGGTACCTCCAATAAAAACCATCTCAGCCCCCATTGAGGGTTTGGCCCAGAAAATGAACCCAGCACTTGTCTCAGTGCTACTCCACATGTCAGCAAACATGTGACAGTGTTGCTATGTGATGCAACCTCGAGGCTCCTTTCCCATGTCTGGCGACAGGCTAACTGCCACCCCTCTGCTTCCCTCTACTCTACTCACTTCCTGCTCCCAGTCACACCGGCCACACTAGGCACAGCAGGGAGCTCATTCCTAAACTCTTAGCTATTAAGTCCCAATTTCTACCTGCCACAATGGGACCCTCAGCCACTCTAGCACCAGATCGTGTTTACTGGTTGGTTGATCAGTTTGGTTTTGGAGAGAGGATCCCTAAAGACCTCTACTTTGTGAGACCAGTGTCGCCTCAAAGATGGCATCCTATATGGGGTCAAATCATAGTGGAGAAGAAGCACCTCTCAGAGCCCCTCGTTATCATGGCCCTGGTCTGTTTCAGCAGCTTCCCATAATTAAAGGGATCTTCTTATCTCCACCCCATGTCTCCACCTCTCCAGGGGCTATAAATTCAGGATTGGAAAGGAATGTCATTTTTGGGTCCCCTCAATTGCCAAAAGAACATAGCTGGGAAGGATTGAGAAGCACAGCAGGACCACCCTCCAAGCCTGTTTTTTTCTAAAGTCATCCTACCTGGACTGACGACTCCCAGGATTGCTGTGGAATTAAAAGGGAAGACAGAAGTGAAATCTTTGAAAGCTCGAAAGATCTCAAATTTATAGGAAAGTATTGGTAATATCATTTATTACTAAAATTAACCACAAGGACCACAGACACAGAAAAGATGGAGAATCAAACTCTTCACCTGGTCCCTAGGTTTCCTGCTTTGGCAATGGTGTGGAAGCATAATGGTAGCCAGTTCCTCAAGTGCAATTTCACAGTTTTATTTCGTAACCTAGGGCGGGTATTACTGCAGATATTTATTATTTCCAAAGAAAGCTCTTGGGCTATAATCCCCCAAGGAAAGACTAATGGATTTGTTCCTTTGAGCATAAAGTGCCCCATTCTGTCTCCTGCCTTGAATAGATGCACTCCACTTGTTGAATTCACTCCATTATAGAAGCGTTTCAATTTCATCCTGATGAGTAGGGGAAGTCAAGTTTTTCAACATATTTTACTACAACTCATAGTAACATGTACCATTTACACAACAACCCAGTCCAAATATACCCACAAACCCATTTTCACAAAATGATCCCTACCTCATTACATATAACGCACATTCATATTTTCAATTCTATCCTGTCTTATGCAATTATAGTCTTTTTTTAAAAAAAGTTTATGATCACAACATACTAGTTGATTTATACCTTGAAACACTTAGAGAAGTGACAAGAGGAGCAGCTTGTCTGCCTCCCTCGGGATCCTGGAGAAAGAGATGAGCTTCTCCCCTCCCCGAGGCTGCAGGTGTTATGTACAGTGTAGCCCAGATCCAAGGGCTTGATTCCTCTTTCTCTCTGAAAAAGTGATGCTTGTCTTTCTTCCTTTCTTCCTTCCTCCAAAATATGTGTTGAGTACCTACTGTTTTCTAGGCACTGCGCTAGGTGCTAGGAACATGTAGATAAATGACACTGAAACAACCCAGAGGATTCGGACCCTTCCAGTGATGAGGTTAAACCTCCTCGTGAATAAAAGAAACCAGGGAATCCAGGGGCCAGGCTTCTTCCCCTGTCCTTCTGATCTTCCATACGAAAGGAGTCCCACAACGCTACGCCCCTCTCGGCCCTCCCAAATACTCCACTCCAAAGAGGTCGAAGAACTTGTCTGATTGGAAATTTTAGAAGGAAACTCTGGTACATGCGACATTGACTTCTCCACTTCCTTTCACCTAAAATCAAACTGCCTTCACCATGCACGTCTCTAACTCTGCCCTCCAGGCTTTAAAGTTTCGCACAGGATCAGCCATGGTGCTGCTCAGAACAAGATGGGCAGATCAACTTCAATCTGGAGTTTAGCTTCATAAAGCCTGCGTTCAAAATCACCATCTCCAATAACAGCTCCTCTCTGACGTTGGTGGTTCATCACCAACTGCCCGACACTTTATCCTAATTTTCCATTTTCCCTGCTGTAGACAAGGGAGAGGGGCACTGTCTAGAGGGCCTCTCCATGGGTGCAACTTAGCCCCTCACCAGTTTTTTGCTTCACAAAATCCCAGGAGCCAGACTGGTGACAACAATCATCCCCCAGACAGCAGGACAGGGGAGATCTTCAGAAAAAGTTGATGTTGTCTTTTCTGAGCAGAAGAAAGGACAAGATATGAAGACTCAGGTCCACTGAGAACATTTGAATCCTCAACACAACCTGAAAGCCCAGAGCCAGGCAGGCCACCGTGGCTAAAAACCTTGCCTTGCCTTGTACCCTGATGGGACTTCTTCCCTTTGCAGGGCTAACTACCTCTCTCCTCCTAGTGGCAGATGTAGTGCTCCTGTGAGGCAATTCCAGATGTGAAATTCACACACACACACACACACACACTCACACATATGACTTTTCAATTCTTATTGGATTTGACTGATGGTTTTAGGAGTTATGTCTCAGAACCCAGATAATTTAAAATCAAGTATCAGGCACCCTGTTCTAAGAATCCCATCAATTCACTTCTACCTTCCCACTGAGGGTCCACCTTCCTTTCCGTCCTCCATGACATCTGACTCCCGCATGTTTCCTAAATAGATTCTGTGACATGGCTCTCTTCTCAGAGTCCTGCCAACCCCTATTCCCCAGTGCCTACCTTCCCTGCCACAGGACACAGCAGGCAGCTTTTCTAAACACAAGTTCTTCCTAAGAGTGATCCCATTGAAAGTTGGAATTCTAAGAATTTTTACTCAATTGGGTTTTGTCATATGGTGTTACGGGGCATGTGAAGTGTTGTTCTCTGGAAATGGGAAGGGTTTGGCAGGGAATCCAGAGTAGAGGCTGCGCAGGTCCCGCGGTCTTGCTCTTGATGGAGATAGTTTTTGAGCTATCATTGGTTTCTTCTAAGGCTTCTCTCCTTGGCTTGTATTCAGCTGTCTTCACATGGTCTTCCCCCTGTGCACACACACCTGTGCCTAAATCTCTCCTTATAGAGACACCAACCACACTGGATTAGGGCCCATCTAAAGACCTCATTAAAACTTAACTGCCTCTTTAAAATCTTTATCTCCAGATACAGCTACGCTGTAAAATGGAAGGGCGTAGGCCATTGGCATTCAAACTGGAGGTGAGGCCATCACACTAATCATACATTTTGTTTTGCTTTGTTTTTCTGACTTCTGGTTTCCACTTAGTGAACACATTAGGTGTCCTTAAAAGACTTGCTTAGGGGCAGGGCATGGTGGCACACGCCTGTAATCCCAGAGGCTTGGGAGGCTGAGACAGGAGGATCATGAGTTCAAAGCCAGCCTCAGCAAAAGCAAGGGGCTAAGCAACTCAGTGAGACCCTGTCTCTAAATAAAATACAAAATAGGGCTGGGGATGTGGCTCAGTGGCCAAGTGTCCCTGAGTTCAATCCCCGGACCTCAATCCCCAAAACAAAAGACTTGCATGGGAAGACAGAGATTCTTTGGCACTAAAAGGAGATTCTCCCAAGCCAAAGAGGCAAGAAGAAGGTATTGTCAACAGTGGGGACCCCAGCCTGATCCCAGGTAAATTCCCAGTGATGACCAGATTCACAGAGAAAGGCCATCATCTCCAGCCTAGTCTGAGAACCCCCCACCAAGCCTGAGCCAGGCAGAGCCAGGCAGAACAGCCTGAGGGAGCTTCAGCACCTTGAAGGCCAGCCGGCCTCCCCCAGCCCTACAGAAACCTGGAACTTTGTACTACCCAGGGCTGGGGCTCCAGGAGAGGCAATTCCCACTGCCATGATTTAAATGTCCCTCCAAAACTCATGATGCACACACGAACTGCCATTCCAACTGTGTGGCGGGCTGGGACTGCTAAGGGGCCATCAGGTCATGGGGACTCTACCCTCAAGAGTGGATTAATGCCATTATTATTGGCACCGGCTAGTTATTGTGGGAGTTGGCTCCTGGTGAGAGGTTAAGTTAAGCCCCATTTTTTCTCTGTCCTGAGCATGCTCACTTTCTTTTTTTTTTTTTTTTTCCTGCCATGTTATAGTGCATCACAAAAGCCCTGATCAGATGCTGGTGCTATGTTCTCAGACTTCCAGCATCCAGAACTGGGAGTTTATAAACTTTTGTTTATAAATTACATAGTCTGTAACATTCTGTTAGAGCAGCAGAAAATGAACTAATACACTTACCCAGCCAGCAAGATGACTTAGAATCTAAATGGGGTTGCCTTAAAGAAAATAAAGAAATGTATTCTTTCTTGCATATCTGAGTTAATTAACTAAAATCGGTACATTTGTGTCCCCCAGCGCCTAACACAGTGGCTCATATAGAAGAGCATGTCTGAGAAACATGAAAACAGAAAGGGAAAATGAGAACAAGAGACGGTAAACACAGAAGAGTTGGCCCCTCTTCACTGGGCCCCTCTCCACGTTCCCAGAGGGACTCCGGCTTCCCCTCCTCTGAGCTCCATCTGGCATTGGTCGCACACACCACCTCCCTGTGCTTGTGTGTTCTTGCTTTAAAATCCCCACAGAGGACCGCCTCGCCCATCCCCGGCCCCACCCACCCCACTCCAGGCAGGGACTGGACTGGTGCTTTCTAAAGTGGAATAAAATAGGCACTGAGTCAAGACAGAGAAAACACACCAACCCAGAGCTGCTCAAAGGTGGAGGCAAGTGGGGAGAGCTCCCCGCAGCAGGGCTCTGGGAGGAGGAGGAAGATGTGGTTCAGAGCGCAGTGGAGGGAGGGGCCGGGCACAGGAGCAACAAAGTCCCCAGCCTTTCAGGAACTGGCTCAGGCCTGCAGAGGAGACATCACTGTTGTTTCTTCCTGGTCATGATTTATTCAACTAAGCTGTGTCTGAAAATACCCTGGCCGGCAGTTGCTCTCCCAGCATGTGGGCGGGCCTGGAGTGCAGCTTTCAGACACAGTTCCCAGCTACACTGGGTGTCTCCCGGCTCCAAGAGGCGGGAGGGGCAGACACCAGCCCATTACCCAGAGGACAACACTGAGGCCTGAGAGTCAACAGACTTCACCCAGGGTCACACAGGGCCAAGAGCTGCCGAAGGAGAAGGGAGGACAGCAGGACGACCCCCGGAAAAAGAAAGCATTTGTCCTCTGAGCTAAGGAGACGTAAAGGCTGCAGTGGCCTAAGTGCCACAGCCCCACCTCCACCCACTGCCCCAGCTTTCTGAGGGGGTGCCAGGTGCCAGGGGAGGAAATCCAGGAAGGAAGCAGCTGCCTCTGGAGGAAATGGAGGAAAATCATGCAGAAGCCTAGGCTCTGGAGTCCCCTCGTCACCCCTGACATGCTCAGGAGCCAGGGAGCAAAGCTAGACCATCTGTGCTACTACGTCCCCAACTCTTCACACGGGGCCAATATGTCAGCTGTGTTTCTGTTACAAAAAGTCAACACGGTATTCTGGTCCTGGGGCCAGAAACAGTCAGAAAACATGAGAATGAATCCATGACTCATGCCTACATGACTTGAGCGAGCCTCTTGAACTCCGTGTGACTCAGTTTCCTCATCTGTAAAATGGTCATACTAGGCCTCCTAGAAGGCTGCTGAAAGGGTCAGATGAGGTAGGAGAGCCTGGGCTTCAGA